AGTCCTCAGTGTGTCGTGCCACTCACGCGGTGCCTGGCGGAGACCGTAGACTGGCCGCCGGAGGCTCCACTGGGTGCCAGGAGGAAAAGTCCCAGTGAAGCCAAGTGGGCGGCGCAGCCAGATCTCCTCGTGCAGGCTGCCCTGCAAGAAAACAGTGCTGAAGTCAAGAGAGTGTAGCTCGTAGTCACGGTGAGCAGCTATGTGCAGCAGTACCCGAAGAGTGGTCATCTTCGGGGTGGGAGAGAAGGTCTGAAAGAAGTCAACTCCCTGCCGCTGACTGAAGCCACGAGCCACGTAACGCGCCTTGAAGACAGGCGGAGAACCCGGCGGTCGCTTCACCCTGAAAATCCACATGCCACTGACGATGTTCGCCCCAGGCGGGGGAACCTCGTCAACGTAGGTGCCTGTGGACTTCCAGGAAGCCATCTCTGCGTCCATAGCTGCCTGCCACTGAGAGGAGTAGGGACCCTCTATCGCCTCCGCGTAAGAGCGCGGAGTCGGGATGTCAAGTGCATCCGGGTCTCCCTCAGGGGTAAGCAGTACGGACACGAGATGAGGTGAACCAGCAGCCAAACACTGGAACTCCTCCTGTCTGTCCTCAAGGACGTCCGTGCCAAGGGCACACTCACCCCTGACGGACGGAGGACAGACAGACTCAGACGCAGCAACAAGACTAGCAGCGTAGTCTAGACGACAGCGAGCAGCAAAGTCGACGAGCGCAGCAACTAGGGCAGACGCAGCAGTGGACTCAAAGGAAGGGTCAGTGACAACAGTAGCAAGGAGACGCGTGACAGTCGGACTGGCAGCACGAAGGGAGTCCGACTCCGGGTCAGCAAGAGCAGGAAGAGAGGACTCAGGAGGAGAAGGCAAAGGGGCACGCAGAGGAGCAGTGGACGGACGGAGAGACATCCGGTGCGTGCCGGGCACAGGGGGAGGACGCTGACGCGAACCACGACCACTAGCGCGAGCAGCACGGACAGGCGACGCAGGACGAGACGCAGGCTCACGACGCTCAGCAAGACCTCCAGTAGGACCAGTGTAGGGAGAAGGAGCAGGCAGTGGGGAGGCCGGCTGTAACTGTAACTGTGACGGGACAGGCTGTGGACACTCTAAGGGAGGAGGAGGACCAGTAGAAGGCGGGAGACCAAGAACCTGCTCAAGAAGCGGAACGAAGTACGGCCGAGGCCGCGCAGCGACTCCAGACACAGCAGGGACAGCACCAGTACCCCCAGTGGTAGCACCAGCGCCAGCAGCACCTCCAGCTCCAGTACCCCCAGCAGCTCCAGTAGCTCCAGGACCTCCAGCAGCACCAGTAGCACCCCCAGCAGGAACGCCTCCAGTACCGCCAGCAGTACCCTCAGCGCCAACACCCTCAGCAGCTCCAGCTCCAGTAGTACCTGCAGGCCCAGCAGCTCCAGTACTCCCAGTACGAACACCTCCGGGACCCGTGGCACCAGCACTCTCAGCAGCCGAAGAACCTCCAGCTCCAGCAGCACGCCTCCAGCGCCGGGCAAACCACTCACGCACCTCGTGTGGAGAGAGTGGCTCCCGTCGAGACGGAGCACCCAGAGAACCTCCAGGCCCAGCACCGCCAGACGCCACACGAGCAGGCCCAGCTCCCTCAGGCTCCGCACCCCCAGGCTCAGCACCTCCAGGCGTAGCACCCCCAGGCTCAGCACCCCCAGACTTAGCACCCCCAGGCTCAGCACCCCCAGTCGTAGCACCCTCAGGCTCAGCACCCCCAGGCTCAACACCCCCAGGCGTAGCACCCACACGCTCAGCATCCCCAGAGTCAGCACCCCCAGGCTCAGCACCCCCAGCAGCACCAGAGTCACCAGCGACCTCCACAGGCTCGACTGCGTCTACCTGGGACACACCTGAAGGGGCAGGACCCTGAGGGGGAAGGGGGTCTACCGGGGGGGGACCTGGCACAAGGAAGAGCGGATGCGGGGGGAGGGACGGAGTGCGGTAGGGGAAGAGACGGTAGTAGGGGACCGACTCGTCAAACGTGACGTCCTGGGAAGACAAGACACGGCGAGAGGTGGGGTGGTAGAACTGCCACCCTGGCGCGTCAGGGGGGAAGCCAAGGAAGACGCAGGGAGCAGCACGAGGGGACAGCTTGTCCGCAGACAAGTCGCGGACAAACGCCCGAGATCCCCAGACACGGAACGCAGACGCATCGCCAACCTTCCCCGTCCACAGCAAAGCTGGGGAGGTCTCCGGCATGGAGACCCTGGGCTGAAGGTTGATCTGATGCGCCGCGTACCGAACCGCAAACGGCCACAGAAAATGGGGGGCAGCCGCATGCATCATGGACGTACGGGCGACGTCCATGACCATGCCAATGCGGCGCTCAGCAATCCCATTTTGCTGTGGAGAGTCCGGAAGCGTGAAGGTCTGGCGGATGCCTCGTGCACGACAGTAGACTCGCAAAAGGCCAGAGGAGAACTCTCCGCCTCTGTCAGAGTGCAGACGCAGAACAGGAAAGTCCGAGCCAAAGCTCCGCCTGAGCTGGAGACGAGCTGCGCGGATCCAGTCGATCAACACCTCAGTGACATCACCCTTGCTGCGCAAGGGGAAGACTGTGGTGTAACGCGAGTAGTCGTCAACCACCAGCAGGAAGTAGCGCTCGTGACCCTGTCCACGAACGCGGGCCGGGCCCCACACGTCCAAGTGAAGCGTCTGCAGCGGGGCTTCTGTCGGAGGAAACTGGGAGGAGTGAGGGGCATCACGCTGCCGCCCCTCGACACAGGGGACGCAGGTAGGGGCAGGCCCCGGAGGAAGGGGAGGGAGGGACCGGGGAAGACCAGAGACAAGGACACGGGAGGCCATGCCTCGGAGACGAGGCAGGGAGGGGTGACCAAGGCGGTGGTGCCAGAGGAGAGTCTCGTGAGACAGGAGGCGACACGAGCAGGGGGCAGACTCAGGACCAGACCTGGACGCTGCAGCAAACACCTGACCCGACGCAGCTACCTGACCAGACGCAGGGACTGGGGGAGACGCAGTGGTCAGTGTGTACAGGCTCGACCCCGGCCGACGTGTAAACGTGGCCAGGTGTTGGCCTGTCCGAGCGTCCGTGCAGTGGGTCACCCGCTGACTCGCAGGAGTGAACTGGTGAACCCCCGCATCCTGTAGGTCAGCACCACTCACCAAGTTCGTAGAGAACGAGGGGAGGTAAAGACCAGACAGGGTGCCAGAGGGGGCCGCCGGACACGGGAGGACAGTGGAGAAGTGAGCAAGGACAGGACCCCCAGAGGGGTCTGCCAGAGGGACCGCAACTGGCCGGCCAAGCGGCGTGAGTGTGGTGCGGTCTCGAAAGAAGGAGCGAGAAGCCCCCGAGTCAAGGGTGAAGGTGTGGGAGGCCGAAGCTGACGCAGAACCTGAGAGAGCAGACTCACCAGTACCTGAGGGAGCAGACGCACCTAGAGCAGCAGCCTCGCTAGCACCTAGAGCAGCAGCCTCACCAGTACCTAGAGCAGCAGTCCCAATGTCCGGGTCGGGCGGAAAACACCAGTAACAGTCACCCTCATCACTAATAGTCACAGCATACATGACAGCAGTGGCAGGGGAAGAGTAGCGTGCAACTACAGCGTCGTACAAGGTCTTAGCACTCTTGTACTGACTAAAGTGTGCACGCTCAGCGGTAGGCAAGTGGCGGCGCACAGCAAGACGGGCAGCAGCGTCGCGTGTGGCCCACTGTGAGCGAACAGTGGCGTCAGCATCAGCAACAGGGGCAGAAGAGGCACCAGAAGTGAGGTCAAAGAGAGAGAGACCGTCTGCCCTGTCGCACTGTAGGAAAAACTGCAGGTCATCTACCCAGACGTCAAAGTCAATGGCCCGACCCTCAGCGTCAAAAGCGAGAACACTGGGGGTAGCCATGACAGCAGTAGACTAGCAGCTGGAGCAGTAGAGTAAGGGCAGCGCAGTGGTAGAGGTGCCGCTCTTACCGGACAGGGCGGCTCGGGCGGCTCGACAGCTCGGCGGCTCGGCAGCAACTGCAGCTCGGCGGCTCGGCGACTCGGCGGCTCGGGCGGCTCGGGCGGCTCGGCGGCACGGCGGCTCGGCAGCAACTGGAGCTCGGCGGCTCGGCGACTCGGCGGCTCGGGCGGCTCAGGTGGCTCGGCGGCTCGGGCTGCTCGGGTGGCTCGGGCGGCTCGGCAGCAGCGGCGGCTCGGTAGATCGGCGGCTCAGCGGCGCCGGCGGCTCGGTGGTGACGGCGGGGCCGCGTGGGGACGGCGGCGGGGCCGGGTGGGGCGGCGACGAGGCCGCTGAGGGCGGCGGCGGGGCCACGAAGGGTGGCGACCGGCGCCTTAAGGGTGGGGCCGCGGGGTCGCAAGGGTGGGGCGACGGGGCCAGCAGAGGCGGCGCCGGGGCCGGGAAGGGCGGCGCCGGGGCCGGGAAGGGCGGCGCCGGGGCCGGGAAGGGTGGCGCCGGGGCCGCAAGGGTAGGCGACGGGGCCGCGAGGGCGACGTGGAGGGGTCGCGAGGGCGGCTCGAGGAGGTCGCGAGGGCGGCGCGAAAGGGCCGCGAGGGCGGCGCGACGCGACGGGACCGCGAGGGCGGCGCGACGGGGTCGCAAGGGCGACGCGACGGGGCCGCTAGGGAGGCGCGACGCGACGGGGCCGCTGAGGCGGCGCGACGGGGTCGTAAGGGCGGCGCGACGGGGCCGGAGAGGGGAGCGCGACTCGGGCAGAGGCTGAGCGCGCTCCGGGCAGGAAAAAAAAAGTTGGTGGGCCCTAGGAACAGTTCCCACAGGGGAACCTGCTCTATACCATGTGAAAATGAACGAGGAATGAAAAGACCTAGAAAGTTGGGTACAAGTACAAATCCTAGAAAGCTGTACCCCATATGTGCTACCCCACTATAGCCTACAGCAGCTAAGTCATATAAATCTGACAGTTTACGGAGTTTCCGAGGCTGAGTCGTTTGGAACTTGGGCTGATGGCCACTCCGTGCCGATCCGCACATGCGAGCAGCGCTCCTAATGCCCCAGCATGCCCGTTATGTCTCAAAAACATGGCCTGGAGTAAAGGAAGAGAAAAAAGGAGCATGAACACACCTACCCTTGAAATCTAAAAAATAGCCATGGGACACAGCGAGCATCCCCTGTTCGCCACAACTGGCATGTTTGCTTGCACTGCGCATCTCACCTTCATGGCTCCGTTGGACCAGAACTGCATGGCCACCGCTAGCGACCGCATGGCCAGCTGCAGGGGCGAGCAAAAGGGGGAACACAAAAGGTATGAGCAAGGAGACTGTTACTTATACCAGGAGCGACAAACAAATACATGTACCGTACCACCAGCATCATTCCCACCACCACCTTTCCCACCAGCGTCCTTCCCACAAGCACCCTCGGACCAGCACCTTTCTCACTGGCACCGTTCCCAGCAGCACCGTTCCCACAATCACCTTGTTGTTGTGCATGAAGCTGCCTGTGAAGAGCACGTGGCGCACGCCTGCAGGGCGCGCATGCAGCATGGCAATGGACCCGATGTTGTTCGTCACCATCAGCAGCACCGCCTTCGCTAGATTCTCCGGGCGGCGACTGGGCGATGCCTTGTCAGCAGGCCGCACCAGCTGGGGAGGGGGAGGGAGGAGGTAGGCGGTTTGTGTGAATGGGGTTGGAGGGAAGAGAGGATGTGGCAGGACATGAGGGAGAGCACAAATGATAGCTCTCCATTAACTAAATCAATTGTTGGATTGGCAATTGCCAATGGCTCTGGGCGGCGCACACAGGAAAGAAGATAATCTAAAAAGGATTTCAGGAATGGTATGAACCAGCAGGCAGGTAGCTGTTATGAGATGGGCAGGGAAGTTACGACCTCACTGCTCCTTGCCACGTGGTATGGCAATGCATGGTCACAGCACGAACCATGTGCAAGCATACCTTTCCAAGGGAGCTGGCTACTGTGGTGGCAGCCAGGCCCATCTCCAAATAGTCACCTCCTGCAACAGTTAACACCATCAAACCATGGGGAAGGACTAGTGAGATGCATGCATTGACTAAACCCATACAATGGCGATCAGGTTGCACACCCATTGCCCTCCAGGTCGGGGCAAAAAGGGTGAGGAGGAGCGCTACACTTGAAGTAGGAACATCATGAGTGACGGAGAAAAGTGGAGAGGAGGAAGAATGTGGAACTGTTTATTAGGATCTTGCACTAGAGATTTTGACGAGGTAGCCAGGCTAGTGAGGTTGCGCTCCATGGCATGTGCTGCATGGGTGTGCATGAGGTGTGCATGAGGTGTGCATGAGGTGTGCATGACGTATGCATGAGGTGTGCATGACGTATGCATGAGGTGTGCATGAGGTGTGCAGCGTGGAACCCACCGTAGATGTCTCCCACTAGCATGTCCACACACGTGCTGTCTCCCCTCGATGCCAGCCTCATGGCCTCCTTGAAGCTGCCGTGGGTGAGAGATGGGGAGGGGACGTGGAGGAGAGGAGGGACAACAGGACAACAGGAAGGATGAAATGGTGGAACCAGGTGAGCAGCAGGGAGGTGGCGACAAGGGGATATCAGCAAAGGACGGAGAGATGGGGAAGAAAAGAGATGCAAGCTGATAGAGTTGCTCAAGCATGGTGGGACAGAATGGCATGGCATGAGACAGCATGACATGGCATGGCACGGCATGGCACAACATGGCATGGAACGGCATGGCATGGAACGGAATGGCACGGCATGGCATGAGTCATGACACGGCACATACCTGGTGCAGCCTGTGAGTGCAACTGCAAGGCCCAGAAAGGTGCTGGAGTGTGCAGCACATGCAGGGGCGAACATGGGAGGCAGAAGAGGAAAGGCAGGAGGATTGTTAGAAGAAACAGAGAACGAGGAAGGCACCGAGCAACGAAAAGAGAGCAGGGAGCATAGGGAGCGGAAGCAGAGCAGGAAGGCATAGGGGGGCATAGAGCAGAGGGGGAAGTGAGCACTTCAAAGCAAAGACACTCCACTTGATATTGAATTGAGCACTCAATGCGACGCAACTCGAGCGCAAGCGATTACCAAAAGCAGAGACAAAAAGTCAAGCAACAAGGGGGACAGGCACGGGAGGGAGGGCAGGGATGGGAGAGTGCAGGGATGGGAGAGTGCAGGGATGGGAGAGTGCAGGGATGGGAGAGTGCAGGGATGGGAGAGTGCAGGGATGGGAGGGTGCAGAGATGGGAGGGTGCAGAGACGGGAGGGTGCAGGGATGGGAGGGTGCAGGGATGGGAGGGTGCAGGGATGGGAGGGTGCAGGGATGGGAGGGCAGGGATGGGAGGGTGCAGGGATGGGAGGGCAGGGATGGGAGGGTGCAGGGATGGGAGGGCAGGGATGGGAGGGTGCAGGGATGGGAGGGCAGGGATGGGAGGGTGCAGGGATGGGAGGGCAGGGATGGGAGGGTGCAGGGATGGGAGGGCAGGGATGGGAGGGTGCAGGGATGGGAGGGCAGGGATGGGAGGGTGCAGGGATGGGAGGGCAGGGATGGGAGGGTGCAGGGATGGGAGGGCAGGGATGGGAGGGTGCAGGGATGGGAGGGCAGGGATGGGAGGGTGCAGGGATGGGAGGGCAGGGGAGCAGACCTGCCGCCGAGAGAAGAGCCTCCGACGCGCTCAAACTGGCCGGGCGCATCGACTCTCAGGATGGACACTCCCGACCCTATGTTCACCTGCCACATGCACACGCCAACCACGCACACGAGTCGTGCAGTGGTGCGACGAGGGAGGCAGAAAGGAGAAGCGAGGACAGGCTTGAGGAGGATGGCAGAGAGGCAGAGGCAGATGGATACATGGTGACTGGCTGGCATTAGGTGGGCATCAGGTGAATGGGCATCAGGTGGGTGGGCATCAGGTGGGTGGGCATCAGGTGGGCATCAGGTGGACATCAGGTGGGGAATGGAGCCATGGATTGGGAAAAGCAAGGGACCATGAACGTTAAAAAAACAAACTAGTCCATAGGTTTGATTCTTCAGCACATCAGTATAAATCGAGCAGCCCTCCATTCCCCCCTTCCCCCCTCCCTTCCCCTCCCTCCTCCCACACCCCACACCCCACACCCGCCTCCCAGCGCACCACAAGGTAGGGGTAGGTGAGCTGCTCTGGAGGACTCTCCTCTGCTCTGCTCCCCGCATCCACCCCCCCCTCCCTCCTCTCCCCCCTCTCCTCCTCATCCTCCTCGTCGTCCTCCTCTTCGTCCTCCTCATCCTCCTCCCGCTCCTCCTCATCCAACCTCCCACTATCCCTCGCTGCACCGCCATCGCCATCGTTGCTCTCCTCATCACTATCGCCCCCCTCCCCATCCTCTACATCCGCCTCTACCCCATCCACAACACCCTGCCCCTCCACACACGCACCTCCCCCTACCGCCTCCTCTGTCTCGTCGTTACTTGCCAACCCAGACTGCAACCCACCTCCCCCATCTCCCGCCTCGTTTCCCTCGCTGCCCGAGCACGCGCGCGCGTCGCCGTCACTACCGGCGCGGAACGCCTGTGCCACCTCGTCCCAGTCAGATGCCGACCCCACCCGACCATGCTCCTGCTGCTGCTCGCTCCCGTCCTGCTCTGCCCCATGCCCATCCCCGTGCCCATGCCTATGCCCATGCCCGTTTGTATGCTCATGCTCATGCCCATTCCCATTCCCATGGCCATTCCCATTCCCATTCCCATGCCCATTCCCATTCCCATGCCCATTCCCATTCCCATTCCCATTCCCATTCCCATGCCCATTCCCATTCCCATTCCCATTCCCATGCCCATTCCCATTCCCATTCCCATTCCCATGCCCATTCCCATTCCCATTCCCATTCCCATTCCCAATCCCATTCCCGTTCTCCTCTTCCCCTTGCTTCCCATCACCGTCTCCGCTCATCCCTCCCGCCCTCTCCTCCCCTTCCCTCTCCGTCCCACCGGCAGCATCACCTCCCATCCTCTTGCTCGCCCGCCCGCCCTCCCCCCTCTCGTCCTCCCCGTCACTGCTGCCACTGCAGCTGCTGCTGTCGCAGCTGGCAGATAGAGACTCTGACCCTGAATCGCCGCCAGGCCTCTGGATGGCGCCACGTGGCAGGGCGTCCACGTGGGCAAATCCGTAGCAGTCGCCAGGCGCCACGCGCACAAGGAAGTCGATTCCGCGCACCAGACTGGCGCGGGGAAACGGGGGGGTTCAGGGGAGCGGGAAGGGTTGGGGAAAGGGGGGTGGTGGGGTGGGGGAAAGGGATGATGAAGATTTGGAGGAGGGATGGAGAGAGGAGAAAGGCGGAATATATGCAAGCAATAGACGGGGCTGTGCGGCTTGGAGGGTTGGGAGAAGCAGCTGGGAAGCAGGTGAGGGCAGCGAGGGAGAAAATGCGACATGGAAATGGGGGAATGGGGGATACGGGAGGGTTGGGTGGGTGGGAAGAGAAGGGTGGAGAAAGGGGTGAGGCAAGAAGAGAGGGACGGAGGGGGGAACGATGGAGGATGGGAGTGTCACATGAGAACGATGGCACGTTATGATATGGCGTGGCATGGCATGGCATGGCATGGCATGGCATGGCATGGCATGGCATGGCATGGCATGGCATGGCATGGCATGGCGTGGCACGGCGTGGCACGGCGTGGCATGGCGTGGCATGGCGTGGCATGGCGTGGCATGGCGTGGCATGGCGTGGCATGGCGTGGCATGGCGTGGCATGGCGTGGCATGGCATGGCATGGCACACACCATTGCAGCTCATCTGCTCGTTCCAGCTGCACGCCCGCTATCCCTTCAAACTGCCCTCTGAACTTGCGCGCGCCGCCACTGCGCGGGGGAAAGCATGAGGGGACGTAGGTGGAGAGGGAGGAGGGAGGACGAGAGAGGAGGAGGGATGGGGAGGTATGCGGGAAACGCACGGAGGAGAGAAAGTGAGATGCAAGAGTGAGGTTAGGAGGACAAGGGGAGGCGTTAGGTGCCACGTGGCACGAGAAGGGAACGAAACGTGACGAGATGATGTGACAGTAGCAGCAATGCTAGCGTGCCTGCATTGGGACACGTGGAAACAAAAAATGATATGTACTCCTGAACCCACTACTGTAATAATGTAATTCCACCAGTCCCCCCGCCTCACCCCGTGGCGCCAACGGGGTGCGCGGCGAGCAAGCCTTGGCTGCGCCGCTGCACGAGCGCGAGGAAGTCGTCCATGTGCCACGTCTCTGCGCGCGGGGGTACGGGGGGATGGGGGAATGCGGGCCACGCGGAAGAAGCGCACGGGGCGGAGCGGGGACGGAGTGGCGGAGGGAGAGGTAAGGTGGAAATGGCGGTGAGGCGGAGACGAGGGATGCAGGAGGGCGGAGAGAGGTGGGGGATGTGTGCGGGAGACGGGTCCGACAGAGCGTGCCATGCCGAACATTCTCCACGACGCGCTCGCGAAATCACATTCCCGAATCCAGTCGCGGCGCGGCAACTGTCGAATTCCAACCACCCACAGAAGCTGAAGAAGTTCCTGCCTTCCTCTCCTCAATGGCGGTCGTTTGCCCTCCCCATTCCCCCCATTCCTTTCGATCATTCGCGCTCACCGAATTGTTTGAAGTACAGACGTCCGCCTCCCGGCCCAAGCCCGATCGGCTCGTGGCTCTCCCGCCACAGGTTGCTGCGCGCCCCCGCGCTGCGATTTTCCCTCCGCACCGCGCCGCACCTGCCGGCGCACCTCCCCCCCTTGGAACTGCCGCCAGGCGACCCGCCGCATCTGCACCCCCAAGTCCCACCGTCGCCATTTCTCCGCTTCGAAAGATCTGGAGATCGACCGTTACCGTTAACGGAGACAGTAACTGCAGACGACAAACCGTCAAGTGAGTGACGGATAAATTCCGTGCCGGAATTGGAACCGTGCGGCTCGTAGCAGACCAGCTTGCAGAGCGTGCCTCCGATATCGAGGCCGAAGCGCGCCCCATTGGAGAGAACGAGCCAATCGGCGACGGCCTCGAGGGAGAGTGGCCGGTCGACTTTGGGCGGCGGCGCGATCTGACGGTGGCGAGACGACGAGGCGCCGTTGAGGGCGGGTGAGAAAGACGACGGCATCTGGTCAGTCAAGTCCTAAGGAGCCTGGCAAGGATATAACACACGAGGCGAATAACAGTATCGATATGTCTTGGGGCTACTTGAAGGCTACAAGGCTCCTCGGCAATAGACAACCAGGAACTTCCTGAGCTAGTGTGTGCTATGGATTCGTGTGGCGTAGATGACGAGGATCATTCGTGAAGGGAACGATGGCGGCTGCTGGTGTACCTGGAAGGAGAATCTGTGCAAGGAGTGGGGGGGGGGGAGGTGCGGGGGGTGGGGTGAGAGAGGATGGAGTGCAGTACATGTGGGATCGGAATGATTGGAATTCGGAGATCAGGATGTGGGAGGGGGTGGCCTGGCTCACACACACACACACAGCTCCGCGGAAAGCGTATGTGTGCTGGTGGGAGGCGGGAGTCTTTTGCCATTTGCTTGGCATGCGAGGCCTGGTTCGTGATGGGGATCGGACGGTACAGCACGAGATGGTGACTGTGAGGCTGACGTCGCACGGGGGAACCAACGTTCCCACACCACGCAGTTTCTTGGGCATTCTAGCGAGCACAAGCCCAGTTCTTCATCGACAATGGAATAAAGACCGAAATTGGGCTATGCTGGGTGCACCCTTTCGAAACAAAAGGTGGTGTTGATAGATACTCAATAAGAAAGAATACTAGGAGTGATGGAAGAAGATGGTTTTTGCGACGCTTGCAGAATCCAAAGGCGTGAACTGGAGTGGAGAAACAGACCTTGGTTCCATGATTATTCGTTACGACTGTGGATGTATGCTTTTAGAGTATAATTTCCAGAAACAAATCATTTTCGACGCATCGTTGTTTAACAGAGAAATACATAAATTAGTTGACGGAAAGTTTGAAAAGGAACCAGGGATAACACACCCGTGGCCGGGCTAAAAGGAAACATTTTCTTTGTTGTTTCCGGCCTGAGGTATGGTGGTGTGGTTAGTCAGACGAGAAGTTGCTGGTTGTGGGGGCTGGTGTGATATGGCGGGCTGCTTCGTTTCGCCAATCAAGTTAATGAAAAGAAGGCGGGAAACACAGTACCCGAATCGGTTAGCCTCGGATACTACGCTGACCTGTGCCATGACTCTGACCAGCGTGCGATGGTGACGGATGACCCCATAGGGCTGCGCCGAAGCCAGCACCAGTTTGCTTCGGTAGTTTTGGTTTGGCTTCGTGTGACGTGAGGAGAGGAGGGCCAACTTGCGGTGCGCCACGAAGGTGGCAACAAGCAAATGACGGCTCCTACCTTTCCAGCTAAGGTGTGACGTGGCAAACGAACATGGCAAAAAAAACTACGAATCGACGTGAAACAACCTGCTATAGCTCAGTTGGTAGAGCGGAGGACTGTAGTTGAGCAATCCTTAGGTCACTGGTTCGAATCCGGTTGGCGGGAAATATTCTCTTTTGCTTCATGTGTGAGCTGGAGCAATCTTAGGACGTGTCACGGTTCGCCTCTAATTGCCCCGATCACAGTCGATCAATAACTTCCAGGAAGCTAGGGCGGCGATTTTCAGGCAATCGGGGGCAATCAGCTGATCGCCCCAACTCGATCAACCGCCTAAATCAGCCCAATCAAACACAACCCCACACAGTCACCGACGATCAGTTGATTGCATTGGATTAAAGCTCGCGTCTCAGATTTCCAACCTTTTAACACTTGGTTGGGTTTTCCCGTCTGTGATTGGGTAACGAATGACGAATTATTTGACGAGTGGGTGAAAAAAACACAGCGAACTCCCAAACAGTCGAGGCCAAAACAAACCAGGGTGGGTTGGTTTGGGTGGAAAACGAGCCAAGGGGGACAGGTTTGGTCCCGGGTTCTGTCAACGTTGAGTTCAGAGTCTCATATTTTCGAGAGTTGTTAACACTTGGTGTGCACGGGGAAGTGTGCGACAGCCAACTCTCCCAATCCACCCCTTGCTTTGGTGTGCTTTGCGACAAACTCTGCTGTTACCGGATTCCAACCGTTTAACACTTGGTTGGATGGCAGAAATATGAGACGCGAGCTTTAAGGTACCTAACGACACCAGCGAGAAGTTACGGTGTTGTGCTGGGTTTCGTGAAGCTCTCGCTCAAACAACCACCCTGGCAAGAACGTTCGAAACCATCCTCTGCAGCGTTTCTGGGCACCTGTTCACGCGAAATTACAGGGAAACAATGAACTTCGTTAGATCCAGGCTGAGGACTTCGCCCTCGCCAAAGTGGGCGCGAAAGTGTTTGCCATGCACCCTCGTAAAACATTCGAGGAACTTCTCATCTGATCGGGCGGCGCGAGCACAGTAATGGGGGGCACCCCGATCCGATCAGCCCCGACCATATCAAAGCCGATCATGTTGGAAACAAGTAACTTAACGCTTCTGATGTGTCGAAACACCGAACTACAAACGAGGCGAACTACAGAGGAACAACGGCGAGTCAACGATCGGAGGTTGACAAGTGAAGCAACCGCTGGAGGTTACGCGAAGGTCAAAGGTCAGCGACCTTTGACTTGACAAATACAGCACGACAGCAAGGACAAACAACTGACTCGGTACAGAGTGAGAAGATTTGAACAAGGATGGATGAACTATGAATGAAGTGAGTACATATAGGAAACCCTAATTGGGTTGTACCCCCTATGGGATACCCCACTATAGCCTACACAACAGCATAAGCTATATATATGTTCTGACACACCCCCATAGGCAAAGTGGGGGAGAACAAGGGGTCACAAGACCAGTCACGCAAAGCACAGCAAGCTCAGGGTGGATCACAAAGTCACCACACAGTCCGAGCACAACGACAAGGCCACAAGGCCAGTTCACATGCAGGAGTGCACATATATATATAGAGCTAGACAAGCAAGAGCAGGTATATATATGTGACAGTACAAGCAAGGTCAAGAGGAGAGCAAGTGAGGCAAGACAGGTACAAGACCCAGCTGAGTGCAGAAGCGCTGATGATCACAAGGCGCAAGTGCCTTGGTGAACACATCAGCAGTGTTGGCCTCAGAGGCCACGTACGCAAGTTGCAACTGACCACGCTGCTGCAGCTCACGAGCAAGAAAGTAACGGAGAGCAATGTGCTTCGTTCTGTGCTCCAAGCGCTGCTCTCGACACAAGGCCAGCATGGCCTTGTTATCTACGTACAGCACTGGAGGAGAACGAGGCGGCTCTCCAAGGTCAGTCAGCAGGTAGGTGAGCCAGCGAAGCTCCTGTGCAGCCATGGCCCCGGCGTAGATCTCAGCCTCACAACTGGAGCCGAGAACAGAGGACGAGCGAGTAGCCCGCCACGAGACAGAGCCGGAACCAAGACTGAAGGTGTAACCCTGCGACGACCGCTGCGTAGCCTGGTCGTCAGCCCAAGAAGCGTCCGCGTGCCCAGTGAGGACCACTGGACTCCGCCCTCCAAGCACTAGCCCCATGCCCGACGTACTGCACAAGTAGCGCAACACCCTCTTCGCTGCAGCCATGTGCTCTGGTCGGTGTCTCCCAGGAGCAACATAGCGTGCAAGAATGCTAAGAGGGTATGCAAGGTCAGGTCGTGTGCAGGTCATCAGGTACATGAGGCAGCCAACAAGCTCTGGGTACGGGCCACTCGACTCTACGGACTCATCCGAAGGCAGAGCTGAGAGCGAGTGGCGAGTAGACAGAGGAGTGGCCTGAGGCGAGGAGTACGTGAAGCCGAAGCGCTGAAGGACCTGCTGCACCATGTGTGACTGAGTCAAGGTAATGGTGCGGCGTGCTCTGTCCCGAGTGATCTGCAAGCCAAGGTAGCTGCGCAGTTCACCCAGGTCTGTGCACGTGTGTCTCTTCTGCAGCTCGGACTTCACGTGGGCGAGTCCAGCAGTGTCAGCTGTGGCAAAGACCAAGTCGTCGACGTACACGAGGATGTAGAACGGCGGCAAAGAAGTGTCGGTGCGCAGAAACAACGACGGGTCAGCCGTAGAGGGAGCAAACCCAAGAGCCGCAAGTGTAGTCCTCAGTGTGTCGTGCCACTCACGCGGTGCCTGGCGGAGACCGTAGACTGGCCGTCGGAGGCTCCACTGGGTGCCAGTAGGGAAAGTCCCAGTGAAGCCAGGTGGACGGCGCAGCCAGATCTCCTCGTGCAGGCTACCCTGCAAGAAAGCAGTGCTGAAGTCAAGAGAGTGGAGCTCGTAGTCGCGCTGAGCGGCTATGTGCAGCAGCACCCGAAGAGTGGTCATCTTCGGGGTGGGAGAGAAGGTCTGAAAGTAGTCAACTCCCTGCCGCTGACTGAAGCCACGAGCGACGTACCGCGCCTTGAAGACAGGTGGAGAGCCCGGCGGCCGCTTCACCCTGAAGATCCACATGCCACTGACGATGTTCGCCCCAGGAGGGGGAACCGCGTCAACGTAGGTGCCTGTGGACTTCCAGGACGCCATCTCTGCATCCATAGCTGCCTGCCACTGAGAGGAGTAGGGACCCTCTACGGCCTCCGCGTAAGAGCGCGGAGTCGGGATGTCTAGTGCATCCGGGTCTCCCTCAGGGGCAAGTAGTACGGACGCGAGATGAGGTGAAGCAGCAGCCAGACACTGGAACTCCTCCTGCCTGTCCTCAAGGACGTCCGTGCCAAGAGCACACTCACCCCCGACGGACGGAGGACAGACAGACGCAGACTCAGCAACAAGACCGGCAGCGTAGTCTAGACGACAGCTAGCAGCAAAGTCGACGAGCTCAGCAACAAGAGCAGACGCAGCAGTGGACTCAAAAGAGGGGTCAGTGACGACAGTAGCAAGGAGACGTGTGACAGTAGGACTAGCAGCACGAAGAGAGTCGGACTCTGGGTCGGTAAGTGCAGGAAGGGAGGACTCAGGAGGAGAAGGCAAAGGGGCACGCAGAGGAGCAGTGGACGGACGCAAAGACATCCGGTGCGTGCCAGGGACAGGAGGAGGACGCTGACGCGAACCGCGACCACTAGCGCGAGCAGCACGAACAGGCGACGCAGGACGAGACGCAGGCTCACGACGCTCAGCAAGACCTCCAGTGGGACCAGTGTAAG